ATTTCGATCATGGAGGCTAAGATGCTTGGATTCGAGCACATCAAGGGGCTGTACCTTTGTGGATGGATTGCAGGAGCGAATTGCTCGAAAGGTAGAACGTTTAACTTACCATGATTTGCAGGAACTTATCCATATCTCAATCCAAATCGAGCAGCAAATCGCCAAGAAGCAAGCTCGTTTTAATCGAGCAAGAACAACCTCTTCGAACCAATCGTATACACGCGGTGAGAACAAGTCCGGGACTGTTCCAACAACCAAATCAACCCAATCCGAGGCAAATATCCATGACAAAGGGAAAGGCATAGCAACATCTTCGGGATCAGGTCCTAAAGGTAACAAATCAACTCCCGTTGAATTACGTTCACGTGAGATTGTTTGCTACAAGTGTAGGGGACGAGGACATTATGCAAAGGACTGTCCAAATAATCGTGTCATGATCCTTACGGATACGGGAGATTATGAATCCCTGGACGAATAGGAGGTTAATGATGCTGAGGAGAACATAGAGTATCCGGACAGCGGAGAACTCTTGGTCACGAGGCGAGTTTTGAGCACAATGACAAACCCGGAAGAAACTGCCCAAAGAGAGACAATCTTCCATAGTCGATGCACTATTAGAAACAAGGTATGTGGCCTAATCATTGATAGTGGTTCATGTACTAACGTTGCGAGTGCATACATGGTTAAGAAGCTAGGATTGGAGACCGAGAAACATCCACACCCATATAAGCTTCAATGGCTCAACAACCAAGGGGAACTCAAGGTAAATGAACGGGTCAAAGTATCATTTAGCATTGGACGTTACCAAGATGAGGTGATGTGTGATGTTGTTCCAATGCAAGCGGGGCACATACTTCTTGGACGTCCTTGGCAATTTGACCGAGAGGTGAAACACGACGGTAGGACCAACCACTACTCTTTTATCTTTAACAAGCGTAAGATATCGTTGGCTCCTCTTAGTCCGTCAAAGGTTCACGAGATTCAAGTTAAGCTCTCCAAAGAAGGAGACAACAACAAAAAACCGAACTTCTACATGAAACCAAGCACGGTAAGTAAAGCTCTACTAGATGAACGTTTGGTTTTACTAATGTTGTACAAAGAAGTGTTGAGCGCAGGATCGGATCAGATTGTATATCCCCTGGAAATTAAGAAGCTCCTAGAGCATTTTCAAGACGTTTTTTCCGAGGAACCACCTGCGGGATTACCACCAACTCGTGGTATCGAACACCAAATCGATCTTGTGCCGGGAGCACCACTTCCAAACCGTCCCGCTTACCGTATGAACCCCGAGGAGACTAAGGAACTCCAAACGCAGGTACAAGATTTATTATCTAAGGGTTATATACGTGAAAGCTTAAGTCCTTGTGCAGTGCCCGTTCTACTCGTGCCAAAGAAGGATGGGACATGGCGTATGTGCGTGGATTGTAGAGCGATAAACAACATCACAATCAAATATCGCCATCCAATACCACTACTCGATGATATGTTGGATGAGTTAAGCGGAGCAACCCTCTTTTCAAAAGTCGACTTGAAGAGTGGTTATCATCAAGTCCGCATGCGAGAAGGAGACGAGTGGAAGACCGCATTCAAGACGAAACATGGGCTGTACGAATGGCTCGTCATGCCTTAAGGACTCACCAACGCTCCTAGCACCTTCATGAGACTTATGAACCACGTACTTCGCGCCTTTATCGGTAAATTTGTGGTTGTTTATTTTGATGATATTCTCGTCTATAGCAAGTGTTTATCCGAGCATGTGACACATCTTGAGCTTGTAATGGAGACTCTCCGAAGGGAGAAGCTTTATGCCAATCTCAAGAAGTGCACTTTCTGCACTAATGAAGTAGTTTTCCTAGGTTTTGTTGTAAGCTCGCAGGGATTAAGCGTAGACGAGGAGAAGATCAAGGCTATTCGGGAATGGCCAACCCCTACCACCGTCGGACATGTTAGAAGCTTTCATGGCCTAGCTAGCTTCTACTGACGATTCGTTCGTGATTTTAGCACTCTTGCAACCCCCCTTACATCCATCATCAAGAAGGATAAAGCATTCGAGTGGGGAGAAGAACAAGAGAAGGCTTTTGATACCTTGAAGGACAAGCTCACGAGTGCACCCGTCTTAGTCCTTCCCGACTTTGATAAGGTATTCGAAATTGAATGTGATGCGTCCGGAATTGGTATTGGGGCTGTTTTGATGCAGGAGAAACGACCCCTGGCGTTCTTTAGCGAGAAATTGAGTGGGCAACGCTCAACTACCTACGACAAGGAGCTCTATGCCTTGC